TATGTATGTATGTATGTATATATGTATGTATATTTGAATTTTAATGAATAATAGAGGGTAGCCTGGGCTTCAGTGGGTTCTTTAGTCAGAAAATAAAGCGATACAAGCCCTGCAGGCACGCCCCAGAGGAGGTGCTCAAATGAGTCGTTCAGCACTTGTACTTAAGTGTACTGGCAATTGGTGACTTACCCTCACAACTTGGGCTGATCCTGGAGATCATGAAAGACGCTGTAATTTTTTTTTAATAATTTATTTTTTCTCAAATCGTAATTCATTCACACAGGAGTTATAAACACAGAAAGGCAGGATGTGGGGAAGGGGATGACACTGTAGTGTGGGTGTGCAGGGGAAATACAGATATCTTTCAGAACCGGGTATCGGCTGGGTGAAGGTTCAGGGGACAAGTCACTATGACTCTGCCTATGACTTGCTTGTTCTTATCTAAGTTGGTATTGTCTGCCAAGGCTACCTATTTACAAGGTCTATGACTACTCAGGCTTGTAAATTTCCACAAAAGCTGCCTGTTTACATTAGCTGATAGCCATCTGTTTCAATGGTTTTCCACTGAGACCCAAGACTTGGTGTTAGTATACATGTATGACAGGCCTATTGCTGATTTTAGGCCTATGGCTGATTTTAGGCCTTCAGTGTGTAAGCAGGGCTGCCCCTGACATCTCCTCCCTTCTCTAAGTATAGAAGGGCTGTGGCAATTCTAATCTTTCGAAGGCGGGGATAGAGGCCTGACCTTCAGTACTTGAAGGGGACCTTGTAATGGCTCCAATCCCCCTGTCGTTGTCCAGTGCCGAGGTTCTCAATGTGTAAATTATTTCATGAATTATATAAATTAGAGAGAGTAAAAGTTATTTGGAGAAATAACTTATTTCTAAGTAAAATTACCTACCATATAAAGTATACTAAATTAATGTCTCTCCTTCTAATCCTCCAAGGGCACCTATTATTTGTGTCCTTCAAGTGGCATTTGGCATTAATCTGTGCAGTAATCTCTAGCTAGGCTCACTGAGTCTCTTGGTTTCTCTCATGTCTCAAAAGCTAGTGACTACCAAATCTAATCAAAACATCTCAGGAAGTGGGTACCTACATAATAGTCCAGTACATTTTCAAATAGGCATTTCTAATTCTTGTGCCTAACTGAACTTGTCTTTTTTCTTTATAGCCCCAAATCAACTTGTGCTGCTTTGATATGTAATGCTTAGTCATTAGTGTTATTAAATATTAAAACAACAAACAAACCCGTGTACTCTTAAATCTCTTCAGTTTTGCAAATCTAACCACAAAGCCCTACTGACTCTTCATCTCCATCCTCACTGTGTCTAATTGGTTCATTTGGCATCAGTATCTGCAGTCTTATACTTGTTTTCCTGCCTCCAGTGTAATCCCTTAGGCTACTATCCAATATGATTGTTTTCTAAATTGAAATCTTGACTGTACTTTATCACCAGTCTCTACATCCCTTCCTGATAAACTCCTTGCTTGTAGCAACCCTCTGTGAGCACACTCCAGCTGCTTCTCTCTTAAGAGTCAGGCACTTACAGTCTCTTTTCTGTGCCCTGTGGTTCCCCAGGTAGATCAGCATTCTCGGGCTCTTGTAGCTTTGACATGTTTTCCCAGGCTCATCCTTCTCTCGGTTTCTTTCCTGTGTGTCAGAGGTACAGTTTAGACACCTTTCCCGTTTATTGTTCATATCTTTTCAGCATGCGATGGAGTCTCTGTGTGATCCCACCACACTCTGGTGAATATTTAATTTACTATCATGTTTCATCTGTATCAGTAGACTGCAGACCAGTTCACATATACTTGTGTGTATTTTCACTTGTGTGTATACTTATTATTTTGACAGATGAAGGCCTAAAGATGGATGTAGAGACTTAATGAATATCTACCCCTCTTATTCTTTTCTAATTGGGTTCAACTATTTTGAGCCTTGACTATCTGCCATGTGACCTTAGTCACCAATGAAGCATGTGTAGTGTGCCTCCAGTTTTTGATTTGGGGTTTTTATAGGATTCTAGTCAGTATTTGCACATCAAAACCAAACCCCTTTACTAAGCCCTAATCTCTTCCACAGACTAACCAGTGGTTACAGAGCATTTTTCCACCTGAGCTGCATGGCTGCTCTGGCTGGTAGATCTCTGGGGTGTGGTCTAACCAGTAGGGTGTTTCGAAGAATTGTTGTTATCTGTTGCTAGATGCTGGTGACACATTCCCCCTCTCTTCTTGGTCTCCAAACCCTGCCAAGGACTCCCTAGGAGCCCAGCTACCTTCAGTTGAGAATCACTGCTGTGGGATTCTCCACAGAAACCTTGTGAATTACCTACTGTCCCACCCTGTGGTTTTGCTCTATTCACTCGTGAAAAAAAATATGGGAAGGTATCTTAGTTAGGGTTTTACTGCTGTAAACAGAAACCATGACCAAGACAACTCTTATAAGGATGACATTTTGGGCTGGCTTACAGGTTCAGTCCGTTATCATCAAGCCAAGAGCATGGCTGGAGGAGCTGAGAGTTCAACCTCTTGTTCTAATGCAGCTAGCAGAAGACTGACTTCCAGACAGCTAGGACAAGGGGATTAAGACCCATGCCCACAGTGACACACCTACTCCAACAAGGCCACACCTCCTAATAGCGCTCCTGGGCCAAGCATGTACAAGCCATCACATAAGGCTTCAGTTTTTAAGGAATTGCTTGTTTCACTTTTTGAGAAACAACAACAAAAAGTGTGCTGGTTTGCTCTTCACTTTGTGAATGGACTCTGTCTGCTCCCTGGCATGGCTCATGGCTTCATCTAACCAGCAAACCTTTTGACAGAGTGAGATGATTGGAGGAACTGGGAGTTTTCAGTGCTGTGTTCCTAGTATTTTAAGCTTTCTAAGTCACTGCTGCCAGTGGTTAGGGTGAGAAACACACTTCTCTTAGTTAAACTATGTATAGTCTGACTCTGATAGAATATAAAAACTGTTAGTCAAAATGTTTCTCACTTCATTTCCTCAGATTTCTTTGTGTCAGTTTCTCTAATTTTGTGTTTCTTTCCCATTTTCTCTGTTAGACAATTCACGATCTCATGGGGAATGCCATACAGCCCTTGCTGACGTCAGTGGCAGATGCAATCGAAGCCATAATCATCACCATGCATCAGGAAGACTTTTCTGGGTAAAGCATTTCCTCAGAACTGTTACTAGTCTTCACTGCCTTGATTTTCATTCCTCACCCCTCCTACTCTCCAAGCTCCTTGCCAGCCAGGCTTTATTCTTGTGATGGCATTGGCTCCTCGCCTCATCCTCTTCCATTGTGAATCTTACTACCACATTGGCTTTGTTCTGCTTCCCACCAGCTCTCTCTCTCTGCTTATGGAGATGGAGCAGGTTTGTAGACTCAGCTCTGTGCTTCAGGATTGGCTGGTTTGTGCCATCCTCTTCTTCCTGGTTTTCTTCCTTCTCACAGATGACCTCTTCTTTACCTGTGTGATCTCCTGACACAGGCATGACATTCCTCTTGAGAACTCATCTGACTTCCTGTCTGGCTTTGAGAGCAAGCTCTCTCAGTCTTGTAAGATGTGTCCTTCCTCAGTTTCTCATCATGTTTAATGTAAGGAGAATCCTGTCTAATGAAAGTTTGGGTAGGGAGGGAGGCAGTGAGAGAAGAGCCCCAGATTTCTGCAGGAGGGACTGAGTTCCTCTGTGGCGCACCCTGGGAACTCTTTTCTCAGGGGTCACCTGACCATCTGAAAACACAGATATTTGTACTACAATTCATAATAGTAGCCAAGTTACAGTTATGAAGTAGCAAGAAAATGGTAGGGAGTTGCCTCAACATGAGGAACTGTGTTAAAGGGTCCCAGCTTTAGGAAGTCTGAGAAGCACGGCTCAGTGCTTACAGTGTATATAATGTATACAGATCTGGTAACATGAAAATGCACATCCACCAATTCTCAGTGGTGTGGATGCTTAACTTTAACTTCACCTTCAGCTTCTGCATAGCACTATTGTTATGAAGACTCTGGATTACTTATTCTACCTATTGAGAACACACTATTCAAGGCTTGAGAGTAACTGAGGGAATTGGCCTTTAATAGCTAAGAATGTTTGCATTTTAGTACATTTAAACTAGACTTCTAATCCACAAGGAGATTTGATAACATATATCTTAATTTATCTGGAGTATAATTTCAGTTATACTAACACACACTTCTGGAACTTATTCCAATATGCTATTTCCTACAGCTCATTGAAATCATTGCATCTGAACAGATCACATCATGTGACGCATCTTCATGTCACCATATCCATAGGTACTGCTTTTCCTTAGGTGGTCGGTCTCAACTTTTCTAATTCTGGGACTGTTTAATACAGTTCCTCATGTTGTGGTGACCTGCAACTATAAAATTCTTTTTCTTGCTACTTCATAACTGTAATTTTTCAACTGTTATGAATTGGAATCAGTCTTCCTCCAGAGTAATAGAAAGATTTTGTGATGCTTTGGATAAAGTATAAAAAAGTCTGAGAGGCCAAGTGGGTTTAGCCTTCACAGGAAACTCATCTCAACTTTAGGAACATGCATAAAGGGAAAACAAAGGGACAGAAATGATATTCCATGCGATCGAGACCAAAGGTGAACAGGTACAGTTAATGAAAGTAGGTTTTAAGTCAGAACTTGTAAAGTACAACCAAGAAGATCATTATAAAGTGATAAAGGGGTCACCTCATTAACTGGATATTTAAAATAAATATGCATCTGATATCCGATATCAGAACACCTAAATATAAACATATATTTAAAGAATTTGATTGTAACAGAATAATAATCCCTTCAATGACAGATCATACATACAGAAATTTGAGCTACACTTTAAAACAAATGAACCCAACAGACATCTATAAAATGCACATTCATGGAGTTATTTTTTCATGGAGAGTTCCATTTAGACCATAAAAATAACCTGAACAAGTTCAGGAGGAAAAACAACAAAACTAACAGTATCATATATCTCTTTGTTGTTGTTGTTTGTTGTTGTGGTTGTTGTTTTGAGACAGAGTTTCTCTATGTAGCCCTGGCTGTGCTAGAACTTGCTCTGTAAACCTGTCCTGGCCTCTAAGTGATCCACCTGCCTATGTCTTCTGAGTGCTGGGATTAAAGGTTTGTGCCACCACTGCCTGACCATATATCTCTTCTGACCATGGTGGTATAAAAATTTAATAAGAGAAGTCATAAAATGTCCACAAATAAATGGCAGAAAGATGGCAACTCTTAAGGCAGGCCTGGGTTACAGAGCAAGCTCAAGGCCAGCCTTGGCAATTTAGTAAGATCTGTCTCTAATAAAAGGCAGGGGCAGGAAAAGTGCTTGGGGGATAGTTAGTGCTAAGGCATTTGCTCAGTGTCCACCAGGTCCCACATGCAGTCACTGTATGGTAAAATGAACAGCAAAACAAACAAAGCCAGTCCAGAGATAGGAGCTGGCGAAGGCATGGAAAGGAGCCCATGTGCACCGCTGTAGGAATTCGGGTGATTGCACGTGTTGTGGAACTGGATGTGCATACCTAGACACATGTAACCCACTGACACAGACTCAAGAACAAATAGGAAATCTGAGCAGAACAGGAGGAATGACAAAATTGAATCAGATTCCCATCAAGGAAATGTGCAGGAACTATTGATTCCATGCATGAAGCTTAACCACTTAAAAAGGAACTGTTATAACATCTTCTCAAACTGGAAAAAAAAAACAGACTAAGAAAGAAAAAATACTTCCTCTTTTTATAAAGCTAGCATTACCTTTATTCTAAAACCAGATGAGGACAGGACAGGAAGAAACAATGACAGATTAGTGTCCTGCTGAGTCCTGGTATAAAGTCCTCTGCAGAGTGCTCGCAGAGCAAATGCAGCAGGACTCTAAGGACTTTTGAGGGATCAGGTGCCTTGACCAAGTGGGACTTATGTCTGGGATGCAAGAGCAGCCTCACATCCGTAATCAATAAATGTGTCACAGTAGAATGGTGAACAAAAGTCTCACCATCATTTCATCAAATGCAGAGGTATTTGGAGCATTCACCATCTTTAATTAAGAAGTTAGCTGTAAACATGTATCTCATCACAGGAAAGGCCAGATGTGACAAGGCCATGGTTACTCTTGTACTCAGTGGTGATCAGCCAGAAGCCACTCTGTGACCTGTGTCCAGTGCTGACATCCCTTGCCAGAACAATTAAGCAAAAGGAGCAAAAGGCATTCCTTAGGAAAAGATGTAGTGGAATTGTATCTCCTGAGGGGGTAGATTTAAAGAAAACCCTGAAGGCAAAGCATGGTTAGAGCTAGTAAGTGTAGTAAAATCAGGATACAGAACCAACAGGAGGAGCCAGAGGCATTTCAATAAGCTGACAAGGGACTAGCTATACAATAAATTAACAAGCAACCTCATTAGCATAGCTTAAAATAAATTACTTATCTATTAATTTAACCATGGCATTAAGAGATCTGCAGACTGAAACCACAGACTAAATGAAAGCTTGAAGAAGTTCATGGGTTGGTGGAACTACAAGGAAAAAAAGTACAGGTCAGTGTCTTTAATATACATAGATATAAAATTCTCAAAATACTAGCAAGCTGAGCTTGGGAGATAGCTCAGTCAGTGAATTTGCCTTGTAAAGACAAGGAGGACATGAGTGCAAGTCCCAGAACCTACATTTAAACAACAACAACAAAAATTGATTAAAACCAAAAATGGATGTGGTGACGAATGCTTGAAACGCCAGCAACAAGATGGTAGAGACAGGCTGATCACTGGGGCTCACTGGTCAAGCCGTTTACCATACTTGGCAAGCTCTAGGCCAATAAGGAGGCTGTTTCAAAACCAGCTGAGGTTGACCTCTGACCTCCACACAAGTGAACATGTATATGCACACACACTCAGACTTGTGTGGACATGCATGCACTGTAGGCATCTGAAGAATGCACCCAAGGTTGTCCTCTGTGTATGTGCACATAAGCACCTGCACACATGTTCACCTGAGTATGCACCTGTGTACACACAGACACATGCACACACACACACACACACACACACCTTGAAAAAATTCACAATCAAATTCAACAAGTCTTTAAATAGATAAAAATGTCTGTACTACCACAGAATCTATAGATTTCTACTCACTATTAGAATTCCAATGTGTTTTCTCATAGAAATAAAAAGAAACAAATCTTAAAATTCAAAGCTCTGGGTAACCATGGCAACCTAAGGATAAAGAGCAAAGCCAAAGACATCCTGCTTCTTGATTTTAATCTATATCTCAAAGTAATTGAGGGACAGGGTGGTGGCTCAGTTGGTAGTGTTTGCTGCTCAAGCATGAGCCTTAATCCCCAGAGCCCTGTGACAACTTGACCACAGCCTGACTGTGATCACAGCAGGAAGATTGGAGGTGGAGAGGGGGGACTCCCTGTAAGTTCACAAACAAGATAGCCTAACATTCAGCCTCCCATAGGAGATCTTGTCTCAAACAAAGATGGAAGATGAGGACAAACACCCACAGTTGTCCCGGATCTCCATATACCCTGGCACTGACCCACACTCACTCAAACATGCATGCACATACACACAGCACTAAACAAAATAAACTGTAAGTTACTGGCAGCAATTAAAAAAAAAAAAAAGTCAACGTTGTCCAGTGGAATAGAGAGCCCAGAAATGAGTCCAGTTGATTTTTAATAAAGGTGCCAAGAACACAGTTGGGAAAGGACCATCTCTTCAGTGCAGTGCTGGGAACACAGAGTCTAACACCTCATCAGATACGTTAATACAGTGTATGAAGCCATGCACGTGCTACAGGGAAACATGGAAGAAAGCCCTGACAATTGTCTGGACAGGTATCCTCCTTAATCCTAAAAGCTCAGGCAGCAAAATGAAAAGCAGATGAAAGGGATTGCTCCAACTCAAAAGCCTCTGCACATCAGAGAAAACCACTGAGAGGAACTAGGGCGTGGATGGTGAGAGAGCATGCTCAAGCAAAACGTGTGGTAAGGGATTGGTCCTAAAGCTGGAAAGA